GGTCCTTGATTTGCCACCAGTGTCTCCAAGTTTCAAAGTCATTTTTACTGAAGGTGATAATTCTCTTTAGGTATAAATAAAATTGGATTTTGTGAGCCATAATTATGGCAGTTGTAACTTGTAAGGCACATCTGTGTTTATAAACTCCAGTTAGTAGATAAAATATAGGAATCAATATGGAATGATGTTTCTTTTTCAGTTGACAAAAACTTGCAATTCCAAGTTTCTAACTGTATGATACTGTAGTCAAGGGTGTTGAACTTTCTGTGGTCAAATATGCAGGGAATATTGTCTAGTACCAAAACTATTTATCTATTTATAAAGTATTTATGGATGATAATGAACAGAATTTCAATTGTACGACATGGGGGCGATGATTGATTATTGAGAAGATAAAATGTTGATTTGTTTCAGTTGAAATCTAAAACAAAGGAAAAAACAAAAGGAACAATGTGGATATCTTTATCAGATATTGAAAAAAATAATCAATGATTGATGAATAAATGTAATTAAATTCTAGATTAGGTAAAAAAAATGAAATGTATCTATCTGCTTTGTCATTTTAATCCATTTAGATTGCATTGTACCCTCCAGGCAGTATTCTATGTCAATAGCTGCATTCACACTCCAAGCAAAAACAGGGGGGTGTTTCACAAAACTTGTCATCAGTGACAACAGTCTTTGTTATAAACTACTGAAATCCTTGTTTCTGATTGGTTATCAGCAGATTTGTCACCGATTTTTGTCATTTGTCATTGAAAGAAGGCATTGTGAAACGGGTCCCAGGAGTTTTGTGGGAAGTCGCTAGGCAACTACCCATAAAGCACAACAAAAAAACAAAAAAACAATAAACAAACCCACCTCTGGTGAGTGGTTTTTGTTAACACTGTCAGAAACTCCACTGTTTTTGCAGTGTGAATGCTCATGCTCAAAACACTGGTGGACTTTTCTGGTTTTTGATAATGTGAATCTCCTCTCCTCACTTACATGCTAACGCAAGCAGATCAGTGACAAGTGACGTATGCATACAACTCTTTTAAATACCAGAATTTATAAAGCAAACACTTGTGTTTTTTATGATATATTCAGAAAATGGTAGTTCCAAAACAAAATAGTTTTTCAGATTAGTTCTTTTGCAATGTGAATGGCCTGCCTTAACCATTCTTCTTTGCATTTTTCGAGATCAGTTTTTTGCCTAAGGCAGTTTAGATTGTATGGAATATCTTTGAGCATCTTGAATTGCAAATTTTCAAACCATATATCACCATCTTTCACCATCTTTGTCAACATAACCAATATACACATTGCTATCTGGAACATTTATCATTGCTAGCTAGTGGCCCTTTGCTGTATCCAATGGACTACATTTCAAGGTACATTTTAGCAAAGCCCTCTGGAACCAAAATGGATACTGAATATCAGAAACTGTTTCTTCTGTTTTATCAAGACGACCAGACCACTGTTCTGTCTTTTAGGGTGCGTTCAATCAACACTTTTTCAACCTAGAATCACGGTTTTCAAAGACGTTTAGTTTAAAACACAGTTGCGTTCAAGCGATTTTTTTTGTCGGTCGTTAAAAAAAAAAATGTGTTTAAAAACAGAAACATGAAACGCTGAAAAAAGATTCTGCAGAATCACGGTCACTAAAATTTGCTTTAGCGAACTGAGATCTCAATCATGATTCTATGACGTCATTATCGTGGCCTGTAAACACAGACAGAAAGCACGCAGCGAAATTGACCTATACTTCCTGGGTCAAACTGGACAGTATGATGAGCAGTGGCTGGGCTTCAAATGAGCGAGAATCAGCGTTGATGAAAAATCACTTGAATGCTCTCCCGCAGTAACCATGTTTTTTAACGGCGCTTTGATTTGTGATTCATGTTTGTGATTCTAGCTTCAAAAAATCACTTGAACGCACCCCTAGATATGGCTCATGTTCATATCGCTTTCTGGTACATTTATTTCTTACTAATGACCTATTCTCCAGCCAAAGGACTTCATTTCAAAGAATAAAGACGCCCTCTGGAGCTCAACTGGATACGTGTAAAGTCAGACTATTCACCTGGGGTCAAATCCAATAGTGGATTGAGAGTCAGCAGCCGACTTCTGAAGGGCTCGTTCAGATATGGTGCGGTATACTGCCGCCAAAAAGGCAGCCATTTTTTTTTAACGTGTAAATGAATGGCAACTATGTGCAACAGAAGACTTGTGCACGTTCATTGAACCCTGTGGTATAAAATACAGAAATAAGAAGCGTATATTAAATGCTTTATGTTCACACAAAAAAGACGCAACGCTTTTGCTGCGTCATATCTAAACGAGCCTTAAAAAGTTGGCAGGGTGATTGGAGTAATGATGTGTAATGTAATGGATTAAATGGGGGAGAATGATGACATGAAGAGGAGTAAAGACAGAAGAAGAATGGAAATATGAAAGAGAAAGAGAGAGAGGGAGAATAGTTCTTGATGACGATACCTGTTTTTGCATCAAGAATGTCTAAGCATTCGGAAACTGCCATGATTTTGAGCATTAAACTTAGGTGAACCTGAGAGAGAGAGAGAGATAAAGAGAGAGAGAAAAAAATGAAAGAAGAAACAGATAGGCAGAGGGAACGGACAAGAGAAAGGAAGCAAGAGATATTGAACACGAAAAGAGAGGTATTAAATGTAAGATAGAGAGACCAAAAAAAGATAGAGGGAGCAATAGAGAGCCAGAAGGGAGGAAAAGCGTAGAAAAGAGGAGAAGTGATAAAGTGAGAGGGAGAGATAAAAAGATTAAAGAGGTAATATAACAAGAAAGTTAGAATCCTTGGGGTCAAATTCAATACTATTAAAGCTGTCAGCCATGTGCATGTTGTACTGTGGCTATCTCAAGACAGGTGGTTTGATAATTGCTCCTTGGAGGCCCAATCGAAGAGATGCCCCACTCACACTAGAGGATGGTTATACCAAATTTGTATTTAAAAGAAACACGTATAATATTCGTTTAGAGAAAGGGACATTGTTTTAGAGTATGACCAACCAGCAGAGGTGAATACTGACACTGCACAATAGGTTTTCATCTTCATCACCACTATCATTATCATCATCAGTATCATTGTTATGGTAAACATCATCGTCGTTGTTTTCATCATCATCATCATCATCATCATCAGTATTATTATTATGGTAAACATCGTCATCATCATCAACATCATCGTCATCATCATCAGTATCATTATTATGATAAACAACGTCATCATCATCATCATCATCAACATCAACATCATCATCGTCATCGTTATCACCACCATTATCATCACCATTATCATCATCTTAATCGTCGTCATAGTCATCATCATGACCACCATCATCATCATCATCATCCTGATTTTGATTTGAACTGATCTTAAAACTTCTATTATGCTGTACATTTTGGTATACAACGTTTCACTGTATAAACAGTCGAACAAGAAAAATTGAATAAGTAGTTGTATTGTAGCTATATGCAGTTTTGGTACAAAATGCATAATTCTCCCTGTCTAAAGGGGGTATTATCTCCTTCAACTCTGCCACCATTCTTTTGTCTGACAGGACCGTAATCTATCTTCGAACCCATCCTCTCATGTCTTTACTCTAATTGTCTTTTTAGGGGTCTTATATTTTTGTGTGATAGTTAAATTTGAAATGAAAAATCCTTTATGAGAACTATTTCAATTATATATGTACATGCTTCTGCTTTAGAACAAAACAAATTACTTTGTTTCATCCAAACATACAAAATAATATAACTATTTGGGGCAGGAAGAGGTTAACAACCCCAAAATTATTTCAAAATGCTGAATAATGCCTCTAAACTACTTGCAGAATAATGTCAAGAAAGAATTTTTGTTTAATTTTTCCTTGGTGCTGTAATTGCACATTTATGCCTCCCTGCATTTCACAGAGAATCCTGATGACCTGATCTCTTCGGGATGGTTCATAAAAGAAGTTCTTTAATTAGATGGTCCCTATCTCCGGTGTGTAAAGTCAATGTGGGCCAGATTTTTTAAAGCACCCCCTTATCTCTGGTGTGTATAAGTCAATACGGACCAGACTTTGTTGCGTGAAAAGTACTCCATTACCGGAGAAATTCGGGAACACGAATGCGGTCCCTCCGACCCCGGAGTGGGGGGCCGGGCTGTTTATCCAGCATTCTACATCAAATGTCCTCTCTCTCTCCGCCCATCTTTCATATTGTCTCAGCCTTCTCCCTGACCTTCCAAAAGTTGACTTGACCAACATCAGAAATAGACTTGATTACTTTATGAATATTCATGACTAGCTTGAGGGCTGTCACCTGTGTCTAGGTATGTTATTGGTTGACAGTGGTGGCGGTTTGGATAATTAACTTATTTCTAGCCAATTATGGTAATGCATTTTATATTTCAATCCGGGGTAGCTCAAAAGAGACAAAGGTGTCTTTTATTGAGTTCGTAAACATGCTTTAGGGAATGCTTTCAACAGATTGAACAGCTTCTGACTCTTGCCTTGGTTAATACAAACAGAATAGATTTGTACTGGTTATTTCTCTGTATTTACAACTCTAAAGATTGAATAATGGTAAAGGGTAAAGTCAATTTCTGGTCAGACATAAAATAAACTGCCTGGATGCAATGTTCCAGGAACCTGTTTCATCAAACTTGTTATCAATAACAAATGCTAAACTTCAATGACAAATCTGCTCTCCGAAACAAATGCCACCATTTCAGTTATTGTAACTTGTTATCGATCACATGTTTTGTGATAAGGGCTCATTTCATGTAACTTTGTGCATTTTAGAATAATCACTGTCAAAGTGAGGGACGTGCTTCATGCACACCTTTAGTTCGCCCTCTTGAGAAGAATACTTTCACCTGTGTTCCATAGAATGTACACCGTCGTTGCATAAATGAATAATGAATACATGACTTTCATGAGAATGGAGACTGTTTCTAGTCTGTCTCTGGGCTTGGCATTTTTTTAACAAACGACCTTTATCTGCCCCTGCACGGACTGTATCTAAGAACTGGTATAGTGCTCCCAGACAGTTTCTTTACATTTATCTGACCAGAACATAACTTAATATTTTTATGTCTTTATTTCCATAAATTTACTCAAAACATATATAATTAATATCTTTGTTTGCTTTTTATCTTCTCAGAGACCTTGGTTTCAACTCGTTTGGGACGCTATACGGAGGGGCATTTGAGCACCTGCCAAGATTGGTGGAATTGTAAGTATTACCCCTCATACAACCCTTGCTCCTGTGGCAATTTCCCTGTTGTCAATTACCTACTTTAACTGAATTCCAAACTTCAACCATGGAACCGACACTGTACCAAACGCTAACTCTAACCCTAAAGCCCAGTTGCAACCCTAACAAGAATGGCAGAGAGAGAGAGAGAGGGGAAGGGAGGGAGAGAGAGAGAAAGAGAGAGGGGATGGTAAATGATGGAGAAAGATGACAGAGAGAGAGAGAGAGAGAGGGTGGGGGAAAAAAAACATTTATTGAAGGATAAGGATATCTATTGAGAGAAAATGAAAGAGAAACAACTAGAGAAACAGATATTAATAGAGATTAGTAAAGATTGCGAGAGGGGGAAAAGAGTGAAAGAGAGAAATAGTGAATGAGGCATATAGAGAGGCAGAGAAGAGAATGTAAACATGGTACATGGTAAGAAGAAAGATGGAGAGAGAGAAGAGAGAGAGAGAGAGAGAGAGGGAGAGAAAGAATAGGAAGGGAGAAATAGAGGTAGAGGTAGAGAACAAGAGAGAGAAGATATTATCTTGAGAGCATCATATCAGCCAGCCGATCATGCCTTAGGAAATGATCCAACAATACTTGACAGCTCAGTCGACTTGAAGAATAGAGACTGGGTTTAGGAACGGACGGGGCTTAATTAATCTCCTGCTTTGCTCCGATTGTTGCATCATGCTTCAAAAGATACTCTTTCAGAAATCTTCTTAACCCTCTGCCACTTACTCTACTGAGCCCTGTAACAACACAAAGCTATATATATCTGTAAAGCGCTTTGAGAGGGCCTTCGGTCCTGAAAAGCGCTATATAAGAATTAGCTATTATTACTATTATTATTATTAAAGGTAAAGACCAGTATTGGAAACGCCCCAATTTCAAAAAATGAAATGGAAGCTCTTTATTACCAATCATGTATGTTTTGACTAACACATGATGATAAAAAATTTGCAGGGAAACTGCCTACTAATTGATATATTTGGTAAATTAGTTTTTTCGATTGGACTGTGAGAGATAAAACACATGTGTCGCGCATGTGTGCGTAGTCCCATATACATCTTTCTGTGTACAGTGCTTGTAACTTTAGGAAGACTGGGCCAAATTTCTTATCATTTTGATGATTCCAGAACTTTGCAGTACACACCAATACTTATATATGCTAGATGATCAACCTTTTCTGTTTGATTCCACAACGTTTCTTTCACAATGCAATCGCATGACCATAACTGGTCTTTATCTTTAATAGCAATAGACCATTTACGTCATGTAATCAAATTTAATGCACAAATGTTTGTCAAGTGCCTCGTTACAAATTATTTGATTCACCTGTTATGAATAATTGTATTTCAATATTGTGACAATATCGTTTATGAGATTTAAGAAAAGAAACACTTATAATGTTGATATCAAAAAGTAGGCAGCATACAGCCTCACTGGTAATAAATCACTCTCTTACACTACACATGAGCTGTGTGAACTATCTTTTGTTTATGACACTTAAATGCTACTAAAAACGATATTAGGGACTTTTAGATTTGCCGAACGACAACGTGGATTGCTACGATCAACGTCCTTTTAATGCACTGCCTTGAATGGACGTTTCACGTATCAGTCCACGCAAATCTAAAAGTCCCTATTGAAACATGGTGGCAGCGGTGGGATGTGAAGTGTTCAATCTTCTAAGATTATCTGCGCCAAGAAAATTCAATAGTAATTACAAGTCACGATGAATCCTTATAATCTTTTGATTTCTGCAGTTTGTTGTTTTTCTTTTGGCATGGAATATCTGGTACAGATTGAGATTCGGATATGATATGTCAGCCTTTGGTTGGTGATGAGAACTCAAATATGGTAACCCTGTTAACAATAGAAAGAAAAACTTTTTAACTCCTTGCCTACTGGAAACAGGTGGTTCCTGTATTAAACCTGTGAGGAATATGACAATTCAGCAGTCAATGGGTTAAAACGTCACTGATTTGTGTCAGTCTTGTTATTAGCAGAGGTTAAGCATTTCTAGTTATTACCCCTCATCGTATAATAGTGTTTCAATAGATTCATGCCGTCTTTCTTGTTCGATGTAACCAATTTTATTGTTATGCTCACGTCCAAGCAGTCAACACCGGCAATAATCTGTCACTTTTAATTTGGTTAAAAGTTTATTGAGCCCTCTGCTTATTAAGAGAAGGAAACTTCCTTTAGTGAAAAACATCAATTTAGAGAACAACTTCTTAAAGAGTCACTGATTTGTGTCGATCCTGTTAAGCAGAGCCTTAGTATTTCTAGTTATAACCCCCCAACCGGCCAACCAAATAATAGTGTTTTCAGTCGTTTCATGTCATCTTCCGCATTTGGTGTAACCAATTTTATTGTTATGCTCACGTCCAAGCAGTCAACACCGGCAATAATCCGATCCTTTTAATTTGGTTAAAAGTTGATTAAGCCCTCTGCTTATTAAAAGGAGGCAACTTCATTTGGTGAAAGGATGTCTATTAAAGAGTAGACAGGTTGCCTAGATGACGGAGAAGAGGAAGCCATGGACGAGACCAAATAAAACAGTTAAAGTTAATTGCATCAAATAGAATCACAGATCAAGCATGATGGCTAAATTAAGTAGGGGACACTAACACACATCCTCCATCAGTGCATACAGTATGTTAATGAAGGTTTCGTTATAATTCTGAAGGGCATTAATTAGTTAGAGACCATGAAGAAAAGAAAGAAGAGGTAAAGAAAGACGGATAAAATGAAAGAAGAAGGAGAAGAGGATGAGGAGGAAGAAAAAGGAGGAGAAGAATGAGGAGTGACGAGAATTACATCATTAGTTGATTGCAGTACAAAACAGAATTATGATTAATCGTATTCATTTATTTTTGTCTTTCTATTGACATTGAGCAGGGTTTTATTTTGTTGTAAATCAAATTAACCACTTGCCTCCTGGAGCCAGGTGTTCCATGTATAAAGCATATGGGAATTCAAGAATTCAGCAGTCAACAAGTTAACTTACAATTGTACTGATTTCACTGTCATATCAAGACTTACTTCAAAATTGTCGGGTTGGGTGGTTTCCCCCGACCTTTGTGTAAACATGCCCCTTTAAGCATGAAAAGTCGGGGTGATGTTTGTGAAAAAACTCCTCTAATCTACAAATGGTCTGGTCCAATTACCCCGACACTTTGTGAAAACCCTATAGCATATCTGTGAATGGTCGCTTCATCTTCTATTTTCATTTCACGAAAGGTCGTGTAAACACGACAACTGGACCGGACCGATGACCCGATGATTTGGAGTAAGCCGTAGATCAGACCTTTTACCATGTAACCATCATCATAGACATTAATGTCTTTCCTTGGAGCATCAGTGATATGCCGTCCATCTGACCGAATGCACATGCAAAGCCGCTTGTGGGGTTTCATGCACTTTGAGATTAATGATTACCATGGAAACGAGAAGAATCACATCGGTAGGGGGCCACCTCGGGGCCTGTTTATATAATGTCAAGCTGTTCCCTAAAACTCTCCAATCCATTATTTTATACTCCCCCTTTTTTTGTTCTTTTTGCCCTTTGACTCATTTCCTACTGATGGCTATCTGCAAATCCAGTTTTCAAAATAATGTTGTGTTGACACTTGATAATAGTTTGAATATTCATTTCAATTTCAATTTCAATTAATTTTCAATTAAATTACATGAAATTGTGTTTTTATAAATAGTTTTAGTTGCCATAAACGTTTTGTGTTTTTTTGTCAAGAAGATCTACGTGGGATAAAGATAATTTAGTCTCTTGACAGTATTTTATGACAATAATGATAATAAGTGGTCAATTTATATGTATATATACTCTTCTGCTCTTATTAAAAACAGAATCATATTATCACCCCAGCTCCAACAACAATTAATTTCATCTAAACTTCTTCAAATATGGATTCAACACTTTGCCTAACTGTAACCCTAACCTTATCCCTAACTTTATCCCTAACTTTGACCATATCCCTATCTCTAACCCTAACCTTAAATATCATCCTAAACCTATGCCTAATCCTAAACCTAATCCTAACCATAAACCTAATCCTAACCCTAAACTTAATCCTAACCCTAAACCTTATCCTAACCCTAAACTTCATAACAATCCTAACCCTACACCTAAACTCAATCCTAATCTTCTATGGAAAACCTTGTCATAGCCTCTTTTACAACCCTTGAATATGAAGTTTAGGTTTACAGTTAGCTGGTTAGGGTTATGATAAGGTTGTAGATTAGGACTATCTTTAGGATTAGGGTAGGGGAAGAGGTAAGGTAGTGTAGCAGTCAGGTAAAGACTTGTGGCCTGTGTCAAAATCCTAAATTTCACAGTAATGTATATAGGATTTGTTGAATTTTATGGATCAGTGAATGTGTACAATCGTTAACAGTATATCTAGCACGATAAGTTTAGACACAATGAAGGGTATGATCTGAACAGTCCTTAAGATAATACACAGTAGGTCTGTTTTCATCAGACCAAAGTTGCAAAATAACCCACTGTTTTCATACTCGGGATATTTCCCGAAGCTCAAAATTGCGTCCTCACCAAACCGATACGCTCATCACAAACTAGTTTGGACGGGCGAAAATTAGCCCGCTATTTCCCAAATAGCGGGCAGGCTACTTTGGAAACGAGACTAAGATTTCTAGGGATATTTCCTAAACCAAATAGCCTGCTACTTGCAACTGCAGGCTGATGAGGATGCAATTTAGCTGGCTAATTTGAGGCTAGTCAAAACAGCGGGTCATTGTGCAACTGCGGTCTGATGGAGACAGGCCTATTGATGCATCTTTATGGGATGTTAGCTATGACAAGCAGGATGTTGCCCCCAGAGAACCTCTTCTTTTTCTTCCTTTCATCTACATTGCTTGGCCATGCATGCATGTATACCTTTGCAACCTGGCAACAATCTGTCTAGGAGCTCTTTTATGGAGAGAATATAATAAATATGTAGGGT